GATTCCATGATGCCAACAAGCCGAGGTCTTTTTCAAGGAGTGAAGTTCTGAGCAGCTCCCCACCAATGTGGTACGTCCTAACAGGCTCAGGAACACCAATGGGAAGGACCGAGCACTTGTCGCGATTTATTGGCAATTGCCATTTGACTGACCACTCACGTAACGTATCAAGTGTAGCCTGTGATCGGTCCGCATCGTCAAGACAAAATACCTCCATCCACAAATCCTAATAGCCAGCGTAAATCAAGCAATCCAACTGAAGTTACGCAAAGCGGTCATCGCTGAAGCTCTTGAAAATTTCTGGACCCAGGACCGAGCCCTGTGGGACACCGCTATTCATGAGCACAGGACCGGAGTAAGTCTCATTCACCTCCACTCGCATTGTCCGCGCATCCAAAAAATCAGCGATCCAAGAGCGAACGTTCATAGAAATACCCATTTCTCGTAGTTTATAAAGGAGCCTTTCATGAGGAAACGTGTCAACTGCCTTGCTGAAGTCGACGAAAATAACATGCTGACGTTTCCCATCGTCTAATGATCTCGCCCATCTTTCACGGGCCACAAGTAGATTCGAAGAACATGAGCGTGCCCGCTAAAAACCATGCTGCGCACAAGGGATGACGTTTATGTTCTCGAGGGGAGAAAAGTGCGCGCATGTGAATTTTCCCCATTACCTTGCACAACATTGACGGTAAGTAGCTGGGTCGATACTTGGCAGGATTTTGACGATCCCCACCTTTGGGTATGGGTTTACAAATCCCCAATTTCCAAGCACTCGGGAGCGTCCAACTTCAAGGGAATGGCGAAATACCCGGCAAAGAGGAGCGGCATTGTAATCGGCCACAATCTTGAGGAACATGGGATGCAACCCATCAGGACCCGGCGGGGAGTTCGGATCTAATGCACGAAAGCCTTTGGCAACGACATCAGCGCTGGTTGATACATGATCCAACGAGAAAGGTAGCCTTGGCTCCGCGTCACTGGGAAACGGCGTCTCCATTGAGTAAACAGATGAATATTGCAAGGCCAGGAAACTAGCTTTCGCCGCGTCCTCGTCAAGTAAACCGCCATGCACCAAGGAATACAGAGCAAGAATACCACTGCCTGTTATTGTACTTCTCTTCAAGTAGGGGAAGAGTGCTTTGGGTGTTGTCTTGGATTGCACAGCCAAATAGCGTTTGTAGTTATGCAGCTTCTCACGTGTTTTCAAGTTACAGATATTCCTGGCCAATTTATATTCTGATTAGTTAGACTCGGACTGCGTGAGTTTGAATCTGACCCACGGTTTCCGTCTTTTGTTCAGTAGGCTACTCAGTGCTCGAACAATCCATGGAGGACCACTGGCAAAAGGTCTTTTGTGGCCAGGAACGACCTGCTCAACGAACGAAATCATTTTGGAGTACAAGAAGTCCCACTGGTCGTCCAGATCCAGGGGTTCGGTTATACTCCAGTCCACAATACCTGCGGCGGTTTTAAGGCGTTGGGATCGACCTACCAGAAATTTCTGCGAAGGCGACCTTGGTTGTGGAGCGTAAACCGTTGAGTCCAGAAGGATGAAATCACCTAATGATCGCTGAAGAACGGCTAGGCCGGTGACATCTGGTTGTGTCGGTAAGCGTACGAGGTCAAGAATATGGGGTGATTGTCCTGCGACTATACTAGTAGATACTGTGACAAGTTAGAATAAGTTACGTTTGATAACCGTCTCTAAAACAGCGAAAGCCAAAGCGCTTGAAGAGGGAACACAACGCAGTTGATCCCCGTCGATACTCGGGGTGTGGTAGTCCCCAAGCGTTAAGCAGTCCTTGCCTCCACCGAGCATTTTGCTCGCGTCCAGCGAGCAAGTTCCGGAACCCAATGGGGCCCTGTAGACAACACCGACCATGAGAGATCTGCATCCGTCATGAACACGGCACCACAGAGCTTCGAAGATAGCTTCAACCAGATGAGTCTTGAAGTCGGTCATTCAATAGGGTATCACACCGTCACCAAATCTACATCCGTGTCGGTCTGCCAGGAAAAGCCGGTATCCAGGGTTCCGCACTTTCCAGTCCAAGATATCCGAGGACAACCAGGTTTCGGTGAAAGCTGTACCATCCGGCCGATTCATGGAGGCAAGAAGCTGAACTTCGTCTAGTTTGTTTCTGAGATTGCGCACAATGGAAGAAATTGCGCGCAGTCCCTTCTTCAACTCCAACGTCCGGGCATGACAAGGGGTGGTCTCCCAAGAGTTCTTGGCGTATTTCGAAGTACGCGAAAACCTACCATATGTGGGTCCGTCTCACCGTTATCATGACGAGATCTGATTGCATCAACCGCTTTCTTCATTTTTACTCCATCCTCCGTAGAGAGGTCTAGTATTACGAAAAATGGTTCTCTTTTAAGACGCGGAGCTCTATGGAGAATGCGATGAACTTCCTCATAGTTTTGACATACAATCTTTAATGGCCGGGCCTAAGAGGAGCCCTCCGGTTTCTTGCTAATGTGGAAAGCGTGGACTACGTTGCCACCTGGCTCACTTTAGTCGAGCAGTAAGGAGACCATCCGTTTTAGAACCTCTTGAGCGTTTTGGATGACCCAGGAGCAATTATGCTGATTAGGTAACGGCTACTAGAGGGTGATTTGCTGTTATCAATGTGCTGCGGTTTGTGGGGAGTGGACGCTCCGTAAGCAGATTTTGCACCCGACCGACTCTATCCAGAACTAGCTTCAACTGCGATTGCTAAGACTGGTTTGCATTTCACCTTGACATCTGTCTTGCCCTTACTTTCAACCACTCGTACTGACGAGGGCATTGGCGCACATTCCTTCGCTACGGATGCATAAGTCTTGGTATGTGTGGCTTTACCATGGTCAACAGCCGCCGGCTTACCATTGGGGGTAACCGGATCAGAAGCTAGTGACGAAAAGCAGTACCGCTGAGTGCCTCGGCTAGAAACAGAAAAGAAACGCGGGTTCAGTGCAGGCAGTCCATCAAGCGATGCAGTGTCTGTACTTGATTCTTTGCTGAAGTCCGGCAGGTCAGAATATACTTTGCATTGGAGAGCAGAGGTGGATCTTTCTGCTTTTGAACAGAATGAAGACATGAGGGACTTGCATTGATTGGAGGTAGGGGATTCGAAAGGCGACTGACGCCCAGTCCAGCGCGACATGTGCCACAAATGAAGACGACGACGGAAGAAGCGGCCCTCTGCAGTGGGTCGTACAGATCTGGACCCATTGTACGACATGCAATGTGCAGCCCCCTTCGCCGAAGGAACCTTGGACAGCCTTCGACCGAGAAGTGACAGCCATACAACAATCCAAGCATTTGGATGACATTGTATATGTTATACAATAACTTCAGAAAAATATTCAAGACAGTCACGAAACACAAAGGAGCTCACTATCCGCATTTCAGGAAGCAAAACCATAGACCAACGTCTTTTATTTCCCATACCGTATTATTACCAGGCTTACGGATATACTATGCAGGCACACAAACTATTTTGGATGTCGCCGAGGACAATGCACGCGCACCCCTTTCCCGCCAGGACAGAAATTAGCCCTTCCACAGGGTAATCGCGCATGGCAAGCGAAACGGGCGCCAAGCAAAAATGGGGATTAGCATGCCAAGTATAGGTCAAAAATAAGTTTAAGAAACCACATTGGTTGCCTAGGTATACAATTAAATAATTTTAGCTAGAATTTTGCAAAGGTAAACCGGGGAATCTCCAGACTGCTACAGATTGAATGTTACTAGGGCAACAGACTGTACAAAATACATCTGTTATTATTCTCCTTTAATAAGCAAATAACGGTTTATGCTTGCTGAACTGGTCGCCAAAGTGGCACGAAACTAGGAAATTCAAAAGTAGGCTGAACACTGACAATACGCAGGTTGTAGGACTAGTTATTACTAGTCCGAGACGCTGCGCGTAATTAAGTGCGGATATCAGAAGGCAATTGGAGTCGGACACAGCAGACTTTATGCGATGGGCTACAACAAGAAGCGGACAGATGAAGCGAGTCAAGAGCGTACACGTGAGCGCGGGGACTTACAAGGCAGTTGTGTGTCAAGCCGGTTGTAAGATTAAAACAAGAAGGAGTAATGTACAATCGGTCAACAAGTGAATTGTACGTGAAAGATAAGGATTATCTTTTTTGGCGCTACAAGGTGCGTTTTAGGGAGTAGCTTGAACCGGGAGCCCCGAGCGATTCGAAAAAACAGATCGAGTTGCAAGGAAACTTTTATTGATAAAGTAAAAAGATTCCCTGTTATCTAGCTATGAAGGAACAACACCGTTGACGCACTAGCTAGGGGAACGGAGCATGTACAGCACACAGGGCAATCGCGTGTTGCAACCGAAACGTGCGCCAAGCAAAAATAGCGATGCGCAAGTCAGCATTCGGACTCGGCACTCAGTCCAACAAACCACACCGGTTGTCTTGGTGTACAATGAAATAATTTAGAATTTTACACAGGCAAACCGGGGGATCTCTTTACCGCTACAGCATCACACTTTTGAACGCTTTAAACAAAGGCACAGACTAATACTTTTTCATCGGGAAAGACATATCTGTAGCTAAACTGGGAGTGTGGTTTGCCATATGATACATGAAAACTGATACTAGCGCCAGATATAACCAGGTATGATGGGGGCGCCGGTTCCAATGCTGGCGCTACGGTCTGGCATGACTTATTTCGGAGGGCTGTTGAAGCTGTCTCGCTTAGGTATGTTGACTCTTTCGTTAGTATGCCTGGTAGCTTGTAGAGATATACAGCTTTATCGCTTTATTCATTCTTCCTATGCAAGCAAAAAGGATTATTATAAGATCCTCGGGGTCGATCGTTCTGCCTCCCAGGCGGAAATTAAGAAGGCCTATTATCAGGTAGGGATTTTACTTAACGCACTCCAATTTAGTCTTAGTTGGCGAAAAAGTACCACCCTGATGTAAACAAAGATGACAAAACCGCTGCTCAGAAGTTTCAGGAAGTTAGTGAAGCGTACGAGGTTCGTATGTTTTGTTACCTTAAGAGACGCGTTCAGATTTTAGGTGACGAAAATAAGCGCAAACAGTACAACTCCTTCGGAGCGGCTGGACCCTCTGCGTCTTCCGGTTTCCGAGGCCAGCAGCAAGAGGGTTTTGAGTTTCACTCTCAGATTGACCCCGAAGAGTTATTCCGGCGGATATTCCGCGACAGTGAATTTGCGTTTAAAGAATGGACTTCAGGAGACCGTGGTTTTGCAGAGACTATTTTTGGATTTAACCCAACGAAAGAAGTTTCCGTCAACCTCACATTCGAACAGGTGAGCTTGATTTAGAGTGATATTTCTATCCCTATTCTCTTCCTTAGCATGATCGATGTATTTTAGTTGAGCTGGGTATTGAAATCTTTGTCACTCTATAGTTAGCTCACTATTACCTTCACTGTCACCATTTTTCGTACGATACATTCACAGCCGGACACTGGATACATCAACAGAAATCTATTAACTGGCTACTTGTCGCGCACTGTAACTTTGTCGCCACTCCACATGACGATTCATTGTGGCTACCTACCTACCACCTCGCATGTCTACCTTGTAATAGGATATCGCGCGTTCAAGCTTACGTAGGGCACCGGGCGTACATCGCAGTATCCTTAGCCCATGTCCGATTGGTGGTGGTTGCGCGGCAGCATCATTAACTACAACAACTGTACATCAGCCGTTTTAACTGATGCTTCGCTACCATACAACCACGATGACCTATGGAATAAGGAATATTAAAAGCGAGGGAAGGGGGACTTAACTGATATACTTACTGCCCTAGGCAATCATTCAGGGTCATTTTGCCTACATCTTGTGTCGACAACATACCGTCACAAACGGCTGGATATCGTGCAAAGGTAAGGCTTTCACTGCCTCGCGTCATTATGTGCCATTATCCCGCAGGTAACAGCACCAAACAAAATATAAACCGACCATCCGACTGAGAGACGGCAGCGGACGCGCCGCAGTTGCTGACTGCGATCCATGTCCTATAAAGTCTCGAGCCAAGCACAAGGCAAGTCACGTGAACCCCAACCCAAAAGGCGAGAAGGACCAACGGCACCCAGTTTGGTCGTCAGTGACTCCATTTCCCGCTACCAAGTCAACTTCTGTCCACCATGAGCCTTGCGCCTACACCTGGCAGACTAAACAATGCCCTCCTAGGTAAGTAGGGACCAGGAATACGTAGCACGTGCCCAAGTCAGCGCAACTTATTTAAAGCTATCTGTTGTTCTAGGGAGCTAGCATGATTATTACTACCTAGGACTCGCCTATGCACATCATCGTTGCGGACACGCTGGTGCCATCCAAGTTCAAGTGGGACTGGGACAGTAGGATAACTTCCCATGGATGTTCCTTGCTTGGCTCGTCTTTGATCCGGGGTATTATTCGTCTGCGATAAGGAATCTAGAAGTCAGATGAGCACACTTGAATCACACCTCGGTCAACCAGTTACTACCCACACGACCTGCATTGGCAGTCCCCGCCGCACCGGTCAAGTGAAATAAAAAGCAAAACACGAAAGCACTTAGTGTCAAGAACCAACAAGTAATAGATTTAATAATTCAGTAGGCGAATAAGCTAAGATGTGAAGGGGGAAAGTTAAGAGCTGAAGGCCAAGAGCGTCGAGTCGGTGTTCGAACTCTTTCACCGTTGGCGCCGATACCATATTCTCCAACAGTGTATTCCAGGAATCCACTACTTTAGGTGCTAAAAGAAAGTCCGCTCGGACTCCAACCGATCGAGGTTTGTGTAGCTTCGTCGAGTGATCTCGGAGAGATGGAAGCCGAGCCGGTTGGAAAAGCCCACATAAATCGGGTCCGGTTTTACCGGTAGGTCTGCGATAGGCCAAGATCAGATCGCCTCAATGGCAACCATAATGCATTGTGAATATTCCCAGATCAATTGATTTTTCTGGGTAAGAAAGGTTCTGTAGTCCATGAATCATTTTGGTTCCAACTCTCAACACTCCACTGACATCCTGTCCCTGACTAAGCAAGGTAGACAAGTCTGGATGCAGTATTCCAAGCGTGGCCTGACAAAGGCTGAGAATAACCTAACAAACATATCGCCCGTGATGGTCCCGAATGCCCTGCGGATCATCTACAACATTCTGAAGCCCTTGATCGTAGCTTTCCTCCAGTTCTCACTTTATTTAAGTTTTGATGACAACGTGAACCCTAGGTCTACCAGTTGGGAAGCATTGTGTAGGTCATTCCCGATAAGAAGGCAACGCGTTTGGGGCCATTTGGTCCTAATCGTAATGGGGCAATGAGGCTGGACCTTACCATGGTGCGATGGTTTGCGTGCCTCAAGAATCCATTGAGCTATGCTAAGTGGTGCTTTTTTTGCACCTTCAGAGCCACTCATACCAGATTGGTCAATGGTTAGAGGCCAGACAAACTCAGCCTCCTGGTCCTCCAGGTTGGGGGTTGGAATGGGGGTGGCTCCTCATTTCATAAAATGGGCTCTGTAGTCCAGTGCCAAAACCCGCTGCCTTGCGGTAAGGTTTTTGAACCAAAGGCTTTGGTTGAGAACCCTAATCGTTCTCCTGTCTAGGCCTGGGCAACCTGACAGTATTCTGCCCACGCAATACAATGAACCTTTCCTACAACCGTTTCTTGATGCTCTGGCCGTCGCAGAGGATAATAAACGGCGCCTTATCTGCTGCATCGAGCAGGGTGGATAGGGTTTGGATGCTACTGCTCAGGCCTTCCCGTCTTCTTATACCCCTTCTTGCGCTTCTGCATCCTTATTGTCCCGCTCCAACTTTACTTATATCCCCCCATTTTCAATCCCCCAATTCTTGGCCCTCCCCCAGCTTACTTCAATAGTCGCTTGTCTTCTAATTTCAAATCACACACAATCGCAGGGCCTTGCTCCAATCCAGTCGACAAGTCCATGTTCAACCAAGCGGACAACGTCAGTTCATCCGTTTCCCTTTGGAGTCCTCGTGTCTCGCTAAGATTGGCATGCCTCAGCGTGCGCACTTTGCTGCAGATTGGCCAACAGGCAGCACTTGCCCGCACACTAGAGACCCTGTTGATCGATATTTGCTGTTTATCAAAAACTCGCCTGCAAGGTTCGAGCTCCGTGCTTACCCTGAGATCCCCCACATGCGACACTGGCGGCACATTCTCATTGCGCCTATCTGGCGATGATGCAGCTTCAAATGCCGGTCAAGCTGGTGTCGGCATTGTTTTGAGTCCCCGGGCTGAAGCTGCCCTGCTTGATTGGATCCCAGTAAACAGTAGGATGTGCGCCGTTAGGTTAGCTGGTTCGTTCCGTGCTTCGAAGTCGCGCGGGGACAAACGTTGCCTGTTTGTCATTGCGGCCTACGCCCCTACAAACTGTAGCACTGATTCGGTAAAAGATGATTTCTATCAGCAACTTCACGAGCTCCTTCGTTACAGAAGAAGCACGGATACTGTGGTGCTGGCTGGCGATCTAAACGCCCAAGTCGGAAAATTGTCGTCTGATGAGCTTCATCTGGGCGGCCAACATGGTGTAGGCTCCCGTAATGATAATGGTGAGCGATTGCTCCAGCTGTGTGAAGATGCTCGCCTGTTTCTCGTGAGCACTAATTTTCGACACAGCACCCGCAGAAATGTGACTTGGCGGCCACCAGCCTCGGGCCAGTCATGGACGCAAATCGATCATATCGCGATCAGTTACCGCTGGAGAGGCTGTGTCCAAAACTGTCGCTCGATTTGGAGCACGAGCGTGGACTCTGACCACGCACTTGTATGTGCCGACCTCCTGGTGCGTTTCGGTGGACGTCCGCGACGTCGATGTGAACGGATTGACACTAGCCAGCTGGCGAAGCCAGATGTCCTGAATGTGTACCAAGATGCGCTGACATCTGGGCTGAATAAGCGCCCACTAAACACCGTTGAAGATCACTGGTCGCATACTCGTCAAGCGTTGCTATTAGCAGGCATGTCTTCATGTGGCAAAACAAATTGCAAAACCGGACATTGGGTCTCTACACAGTCTCTGGAACTTATGGATGCTCGCCGACGTATCCCGGCTGGAAACGAATACAATGAGAATCGCAAAAATCTCAGGGCGGAACTACGTGCTAGCCTAAAGAAGGACCGCGAAACCTGGTGGTCTCATCGTGCCTCAGATGGAAACAGCCGCTGCCATTGGTAAGCATCGTAAGTTATACCGTCTGATACGGGCAACAGGCAGCAGGAGACCTGGTGTTAGCGAGGCCATACACGACGAGAGTGGGCAGATGATCCACAGCCTGTCAAAACGCTTGGAGCGTTGGGCTGAACACTTTGCTATGCAATTTAACCAACCTGAGTTATCGCTTTCTTCGGGCATTGAGCGCCCTTCTCCTTGGACCGTCTCCTTGGATCCGCCCTCACGCGCGGAAGTCGAACGTGAGATCAGGCTGTTGAAATTGCATAAGGCCGCAGGAGCAGATACTATTCCTCCAGCCCTCTTCAAGTTCGGTGGACCTGCTCTAATAGGTGATCTACACGAGTTGCTAGTAAAACTTTGGGAGCAGGAGACAGTCCCGACAGACTGGAACCGCTCCGTCATTGTCCCAATTTTCAAGGGAGGCTCTCGTTTAGAATGTGGCAATCATAGAGGGATCAGTCTGATTTCGATTGCCTCTAAATTGCTGGCCTCTCTCATTCTCCACAGACTGACTGGCACTCGTGAAAACCAAATTCGTGAAGAGCAAGCCGGATTTCGTCGAGGTCGGGGCTGCATCGACCACATCTTCACATTGCGTCAAGCGTTGGAGCACCGCCATGTTTATTGGCGACCCACCGTTGTCGTGTTTCTTGACATAAAAGGTGCCTTCGACTCAGTCGATCGATGTGCCCTTTGGGACTGTCTGTTGAGGAAAGGTGTGCCTGATAAATATGTACATATTATCAAAGCGCTGTACGCGCATAGTTCGGGCAGGGTGAGAGTTTATGGCAAACTCTCGCCACCCTTCAGTATCACCAGCGGTGTGAGACAAGGATGCCCACTGTCACCTTTCCTCTTCAACTTCGCTGGACACGACCTAGAAGGTGTGGAGCTACTCCCTGGTGAGCGACTTCTGGACTTGGAGTATGCAGACGATATTGCCCTAATCTGTGACAGCTCCCAAACATGCCAAACAACACTGAAGCGATTAGCACTGGCTGTCAATCGTTTTGGGCTATGCTTTGCTCCATCGAAATGCAAAGTACTTCTCCAAGATTGGCAGGAACCCAACCCTGCGCTAACGCTTGGTGGTGATCTGCTAGAAGTCGTTCAGGAATTTAAGTACCTGGGCAGCTATATTAGCACCCGTGGGATTGAAGATGAGGTTACGAACCGTATAGCAAAAGCTCGAGGTGCTTTTGCCAATCTCCGCCACCTGTGGCGC